TTTAACAGTTTCCAAGCCAACATTTTGCTGTATTTCCTTCACCAAATGAACAACAAGGCTAGAATATTAAAACAGCTGCTCTTGCGGAAAACTAGACAAACAAGGTAGATTCACTAGCTGAACAGGACTCAGCTCTTGTTACATTCAGTTCATACAGTTTTGTTTCCACTAATACACAAGGGCATACAGAGCAGGAGGTTCCATCTTTTCCTGGCTGATGACTGACACTAAAAAATACATGTGCCCACTAACACCAACACTATCAGCTCTTTCTTTGAGGTATGAAACCTAAAAATGCAAGTTTCACCATTAAATCCTCCCTGTTCAGTAAGACCTGCCCAACAGCTCTCCCACGTTTAATCTCCAGTTCCCAGCTGCACTGCAGATTCTGCAGTCAGTATGTTTGGTGTCTTGCAATCCATGTTCTGAAGCGTACCTGTGTCTYGCTTTAATTGCATTAAGATGCAATTAACACATAAGCCACATAGGTTTTCAGATTACTTATACCCAAATTTCCAGAAGCACAAAAAGCACCATGTGTACCGCAGGGCCTTTCAGTACCTCTGGCTAGGGAAACAGTGCTGTTAACACACCTTGGAACCACAAGCAGACAGCCTGGAACAACACAATCCTAGGACCTCCTCTCCTGAGACAGATAAGCAGTGAAGAGCAGCTACTTCAAATCAAAGCATCTCATCTTTTACACCCCACAGGAGGTAGCAGCATTTCTTCCCCCAGTATTCTGACACAACAGCACGTCACTGCTGCAGCAGTATGCCTGCAGTACCACTCTGTTGCTATTCWGCACACGCAGGCACCAGCAGCAGCACTTATTAAACACAGTCAGRAATTCAGCTCCTCGGGGAAGTGCAATACATCGGTCTCTGTGGCGCAATCGGAGAGCGCGTTCGGCTGTTAACTGAAAGGTTGGTGGTTCGAGCCCACCCAGGGACGGAGGAGATCCCTTTTGAGGGCCAAGARTATCCTCATGAAGCCCAGTAAGGGCAAGTGCCAAGCCTTGCCTCAGGGAAGGAACAACCACAGGCATCAGTAAATGCCATGGCCACCCCACTGGACAGGAACTTCACAGAAACTGACTTGTCACAATGTCACTTTGCTGGCTTSTGTTCAGTGTCTGCCAGAACCCTCAGGTCCCTTTCCGGGGAAAGCTCAACTCGGCCTCAAGTGACGAAAGCTCAGCTCTTCACAAAATACTCTGAACTGAAAGGGACCTAAGAGTATCATCGAAGTCCAACTCCTGACCCTGCACAGGACAGCCCCAAGAGTCACACYATGTGCCTGAGAGTATTGTCCAAACACTTCCTGAACTCTGTTAGGCATGGTGCAATGACCACTTCCCTGGACAGCCTGTTACAATGCCCAACCACCCTCTGGGTGAAAAYTCTTTTTCTAATATCCAGCCTAAACCTCACCTGACAATTTTATACTGGTCCCYCAGTTTCCTTCCATCATGCTTCCATAAGCATCCTTACTCCTGTTCTGGATGACACCTGGCCACAGGTTCAATATCTGTCTATCCATCTACCCCATACCTACTCTGAACTAAAATAATTATGTCTAAAGCTGAATTTCAAGAGATGATACATAATCCCCGATACAAAATGTRTATATACTCATGTTATGTATTTTATTAAAGTATATTAATAAAGTATTGTTGTCAGCTATACYAAATATGCTTACTACACCATGCATTATAGTAGTTTCTGTTTTGTGTACACAATGTATTATATATTATTAAAACTGTCTGCATAGTTAAGGGGGCTGCTACTGTTCTTCCCTGAACCCCAGTTTACAGCTTTTCTCCTAATCCTAAGTAGCTACATCTGGACCTTCTCATTACTGTTAAAGAACAAGTTTTGTGCTGTCAACAACATCTGGATAGCCACATTCYACACGAAGTCCAGCCTGACAAGCATTAAGAACTGGGAACCAAGCACTCCTGTCAAAAGGATCCAAGCAGACTTATTACCAGATGCTAGTAAATCCAGAGCTGATGATACACAGAAAACACTAAAAGAGTTTCCTTCCAATCATGATTTGATACTTCTATTTTAAAACTCTTATGAGGTTGTTTTAAGCTTCTAAACAATTGGAGCCCAGAAATTCTAGAACTTGACTGGGAATTTTGCTATCATTGTACATAAAACATGCATGGATGTTACAGAAACTAGGATCATGAGAAAAAGAAACATTTACTCACTGTGACCATTTTCACTCTAACAGAAAAGACCAGATGCTACTCAGGCACAAGGATAAGGACAAAACTTCCATTGCATTAAAATCAATCACAGAACATACAGATGCAGTAGTCTGAAAACACATCTTCACAGTTCTTTTGCCCATATAACTTGCCATAAATTCTTAATTAAGGTGCCACAGGTACTCACAAAACAAAGGGTATAGAAACAAAAGAGAAAAAAAAAAAACCAATCACTTGAAAGTTGTAATGGAGAGCTTCTCTCTTTCCATCTCCCACTGCTGGACAGTGGCCAGGAAAAACACCTTGTATTTTGCCCTTGGAGTCTCAGCTAGGTTTGAAAAGTATGCAATAATTTGTCTGGTGATATGAAAAAGCCCTGCTCATGGTAATGTTGCTTAATGTTGCTTTCATCAATACGGCATTACTAAGGCATCAATAAGGCATGCAGGACAGGAAGACACAAACCTGCTACAGGGGCTTTAGACAGGATGGCACCTACAGGCTGGATGCAGCACCATGAATGAACACTTGTATCAATCCTCCAATAGCTAAACAGAGGGAACTTGTATTGATCACAACACAGGCTGCCCAAGTTTTGCAAGTATTTGGAAAAATGCACCAATTCAGCCTCAAAACATAGAATTACTGCACCAAACTACAGGGAAGTTCATTATATATCAGGATACTGGCGAACAAGGGAACTAAAAAGCAATCATACAGAGCAGTTATCACTGTGGTACACAATGGCAGCAAGACCACTGTGCCCTGAAGTAGTGCCACAGCTGATGAGGTCATTTGTATCTGGAGACTCACTGAACTCCCATTTTCATTTACTTTGAGGCAGCTGTTGATCTCATTATTGCAGCAGAACAGGAAAGGCGATGCTGTAGTTTGGACAAAACCCCACTAGMAATAAAAATACCTGTATCTTGAAACCTCCATCAGAAGACTGTCCCACCTCCCTTTTTAAAGCAGCAGCAGAAGAAATGCAAGACAAAACCATAACAACACTTAGCAGTATTCTCAGGTGTAAATTCAAGACGATGTAAGTGCTGCACCATATTCTTCCAGGCTAGTGTAAAGCCTACAAAAAAACATTGGCCAGGCCTGTGCAGTAAACTGCTAATCAGCACTTTATTGACTAGAGTAAATGAACTGGAAGCAACTTCAGTTCTAACAGCTTTTCTCAATCACSGAAGATTTTAGTTACCTCATTGTGATTCAGTGCTTTAGTGTCTAAAACTCCCGGACATGGACACATTCTCGTCACTCGATGAAGATCAAACAGCTCTCTCTGTTACCTCTCTGCTACCTGCTGAGGTACATTGAAGGGACCTATTGCACATACTTTACTGGATGCTACACCCACTATTCTACAAATAGTTTTGACCAGAGCTTATGATACAGCTCGTAGCAGTTTCAGATACGCTTGTATTACAGCTACAACAGTGGATGTGCACTTGGAGATAACCTGACCTACAAAGGAGAAAAAAAACTTGGAAAGCATGGGAACACAAATATTTGAAAGATGGCAGCTGCACAACCCGCCCCCTCCCAATTAAAAAAAAAAAAAAGGTAAAAGAAAGATTTTGAAGAGTAACTGTTGCTAAAAGTGCTTTAACAAGCAGTGGAAGCACAGGAACCCACCCTTCCAATGCACAGCTTCTTGACAGAGCAATGATGAAAAGCAGTGAGATTCTAGGAAAAACATTCTTCAGAGACATAACTAAAAATGTTTAAAAGATGAAGACAGAAAAGCTAGTTGCAAGTCAATTAGAAAACATCTATTTAAAAAAAAAAACTCTCTAAAAAAACCTTCTAACTGCTCTCAGTCTCACTAATTATGCTGTTTCAGAACACTTTTATCCCAGAAATATTTTGCAGTGAAATAAGGAATAAATGACTTAATTCTTTTGCAGAACAATACCCACTATTCAGAGCGCCCTGCCATTCCCTCCTTCTGACAAAAGCTGTCAGATCTGGCAAAGGCAGAAAAAAAGATGAATCCAGGTCCTGTGATAAAAGGACCTTCTGTGAAAAACCAAAAGTTAAGTGCCTTCTCAGCATAGGGATGCACCCAAACTAGGCAGGAAACAAATATATAAATAAATTACAGTAACCTGCCAGTGTTATAATACTTGCCAACTATTACTGACAAAATGAAGTTATTCAGAGTTTTAATTCATCTACAACTTCCCTCTACTGTGAACCTACAAAACCCAAAATCCTTTTACCTCAATGCTAACAAACAAGATCTGCTCAGCACACATACTCTGCATGCAACAGTAATGCAAATCTAAGATTTTAATATTATGTTKATGCATATTTAATATTAATTACATTTACATATTTTAATTATCCTACTACATTAACAATACTAGATACAATATTTGGTAAAAACAACTAGCATGGTTAAGTCTTCAAATTTGGGTAGTTTTCTATCAAGTATAAAACAGAATAGAAAACAGTTTCCATGTGAAGAAGAGAGCATATTTTAACAGAAGCAGTCAAGACCTGTTGCAAAACACAGATCATGTATGCTAACATTTGGACAAAACCTTGCAGTAATAAAAGGTACTGTCGTTCACTATATTTACAAGAAACTGCCTAATAGTTCAGTTACCAAATGCACTACAGTGATTATTTTAAAAAACCCACACAGCACAGCATGTTTGTCTTGCCCTTCAGAAATAATTTGTACGTAAGAAATGAGTTTGTTTAAATTGTATGTGCTAGAAAATATAGAACTCTGCAATAGAAAGAGGTTAAAAAAGTTGAATACTGTGGAAAAAAATTTATTAAGTCTATACAAGTCTTCTGAAACAAACCATTGGCTTTGATACAGTAAATTCAAGTGAATACTCATTGCAATAGTATTTTTCCATACAGAGATCAAGAAGCTCTATAGCTTCCCATTTAGTGTCAGTGACAGAATTTTTATTTCTGAATAAGTAGCTGCACAAAGCAGACGTGATAGGAGATCTCACAGCCATCTGAGCTACAGTTCAGATAAACTTATATTACAAACATTTGAGAAAATTAGGAATCTGTACTAAGTGTGGCAAACTGATGCACAATGAAAGAACAATGACATCACTCAGACCCCTTGCCAATAATGAAGACTTTCTGCAGCAAGTCTACAGCAGACCATCATAAAATCCTAGAGTGCAAGAGTACCACAAATTTAGTATATAAATATCACAGGATTAAAACTCCAGTTAAGCCATCAACTGAAGTGATGATTAAAAGGAAAACATGGCGTCCCCCAGCTTTGCAAAGGAAACTTTCAAAGCATCTCTTCAAGAAAGTGCTGATACCAACTAGGGCCTGTGCCAATTTGTGCTTGAGACAGCACTGCTGAAAGACAAAATTTTAGCAGATTTGTCTATGGACTGTATAATCCTTCTGCTTTTAATACCTTAAAAAAAGCATTTACTAGAAGAGATGAAATGTAACATTTATAGCTCATACCGTTTCCAAGATCTGTGCATACTATATAGTTCTATAATTTCAACAGAATTTAAAAATAAGACAAGGAGCAGACAATGCAGTAATGTGTTTGTTAGATGGATTTGTTTAGAATAGTTACACAATTAATGTAGACAGCTGTAAAATTTCTAGTGCATTTGTTCTTGCACATTATTTATGCTACTTATAAAAACCTGAAGATTGCAAACTGGGCATGCTTACCATAACATTTTCAAACTGGGAAAGCTGCAGAACATTTTTTCTACAAGTGTTCACTGCCATGATACAAAACAAATATGTGCAAACTGCAAGGTCCCTAAAAATAGCATTTAATGACTTTATGTACAGAAAGATGTAACTATCTGTTTAAATATGCAAAGAATAAGCTTCCCAAAGTTTATAACATAGAACAATATCCACCACATGCTCCTCCTCCTCCATATCCTTCTTCCTTGTTTGATAACTTTACACCTCTGTTTTGGCTTTCACTCTCCCACAGTCCAGGAGTCTGAATGATTTTTTCAACAAGTTCTTCAAAGGCACACTGCACACCATCACATGTTTTTGCACTTGCCTCTGAAGAGGGGACACAAAAGTCAAGTGTTAGCAAAACTTCCAGTAACTTGTYTAGTATTTCTCTTTCAGTTAAGATTCAACCTACAACAGACTTACAATTGCTACAATATATGCTGTRAAAACATAGCAGTGCCAAAATGAGCAGGTACGCAGATTTGTCACCACACCAGTACAAACTCAAAACATTTATAATAGAAGAGATTTCAAGTTGAACTTTACCAGAACATATGGAGACAGCTACAGCTTAGCTTTATTTTTCTGTGGAAAGCACTTCAGTAAGAAAAATCAGGATTCCTGTCTGAAAAACCTGTTGGCCCTTCTGTATTTCAGTTCTGTACATTAGCCATAACTGCAGTACCACCAGATCGTAAGAACCAAGGATCCGTACCCAGGATTCTGGGTCAGTCTTCATGATAAAACTCATCTGATAAAAAGCAATAAGGGGCCTCACTTCTTTTGCAGTTAGCAGCATTCTAGGTAATTTCACTCAGGATCCTTGTTTTGACCAAGACTAAGAAATCTGCTCACAGGTTATACGATGAAAACAACAGACACCATCAGAAATGGTACAGTTCCACCAGGAAAGATGCCCTTTTCATCTTCGCAGCATGCATACTTAAATTATGTAGCGTGCATACGTATATATATATCTATGTATACACACACACAGTTATAGTCTCATTTTCATTTTCATCTTCCATGYACTTAATAGCTTGTGACTCAATTTTGAACTTTTATTTCTACATCTAACACTGCAGATGAAAAGAAACACAGCAGATCACTAAACAAAAATAAGTCTTTAGTCAAAGATAATGAATATAAGTCTAAGTACAAGACATGGCAATGAACTGATTTGCTACTGGAATCATGCTGTAAAATGATCCCTTCTGATAATTAGGTAATAAACATATCCATAAAGATATGGATCACTTCAACACCYATTTTTAAATTCATCATTAGATAGCTTTGCCTACAAGACCCATTTCATTTTGCAGCAAGATGAAACCAATATATTTGCTCCAGTCATAATTCTGTCATTATTCAATCCCACCCACAATTAGTAAGTTAATTATATACCTACCTATTTTTACGTCCTAGCTCTAACACAGATTTCTCTATAGCTGTTTTGGTATACTGAAGGCTGGCCATTAGCACCAGTTTTCCCTCTTTTATTTTGCTTCTGTTATTAACTTAGCAAGTCAGCTGAAAAAAGAAATCAGACACAACCCAAAACAGGTACAGAAGGCCTGTACTTTGCCCCTCATCCTTATGAATTTCTGTATAATCATCCACAGAACAGAMCTGGACATAATCAGGGACAAGTTAAAAAACAGTAATAGCCATTATCTTTGTGGCTACTGCAGGTGAGAAATATCATTAACTCAACTGTACATATAAATCAACCCTACAGAAGTGGTACTTTTCCTTATGTAACAAAAATCAAGAAAGAGCTCTGCAAATATCTATAACATACCTATGAATAACATGGAATGTTTTCTTGCAAATTTGAGGCCTTCATTTCTGTCAACTTCACGGTTTTCCTATAATAAGACAAAGCATTAGTATTCATTATTAACAAAATACACCAACAGATTACTTACTGCAGTTGAATTTGGTTTACCTTATCAATCTTGTTTCCAACTAACATTTTCACTATGTCATTCCTTGTGCAGTATGTTTCCAATTCATTTAACCAGTTATCCAGCTTGACAAAAGTATCTCTTCTCGTGACATCATAAACTGAAAAATATTAGCCATATTATTTCAATTTTTTAATTACATTGTACATTACAAAAGAAGAAAAATTGATGGATTTTTGAATCAGAAAACTGAGTGAGTCCTAAGGATTCAAATTTACCTTCTATATGAATAGCTGGAAAAAAAATACTCGGACATCCACCAGCTCCAATCACTGATGCAGAACAACTCTAAGTTTCAGCCACCTACGGTTCTCAGAGTAACATACCTTGATACATCCTATCTTAAAGGCTAGACAGTATCATTCTCCAAGGAATTCTACACTTGCAGATCCTCAGATGCAGGATACCTAAAATCAYTACACAACAGCTATGCTAAGAGGATGGCCTTCAGCACATGGCCTTCAGTTAATTCGTGATAATTAAGACTTGTTTAACACCACTGCTATGCTTCTAATTTAGCTAAAATGTAAACAGATCACCAAATGTTCATATATACCAGTACACAACTAAGTTTTCAATCTTTYAGTGTTTTAAACTATTTAATATTTTGGCGAAAACAAGACATGCTAGGAGCAGAAAGTCCAGAGGGAAAAAAGCAGATAAAAATCTAAAATCTACTACCCAGAGCTATGTAATAGCTGGTATTTCAAGCTATCAAAGTATTTTTTCCTTTGTTTTCACATCACATGTGCAGACAGGTATAAACAACTTGTTTCAATCAAACCTGTAACTTTGTTTGCATGAACAACCTTCTTTTCAGAAAGACAGGTAACAACCAAATAGCCAGGAGATACCAAACAAGAGAGAGCAAATCTCAACAGCAGAACCTTCTGTCTCCTGAACAGTGCTTGTTTACAGCTTTCAACAGTAAGTGGGAAGTACAGTGCAACTAAGTGATTTGACAAGACATTCTTTGACAGCACCTTCCTATCTATACTGGCAAGATAATGCAATTCACAACTTGGAAAACGTTTACCAGAAGGTCACATGACAGATGTTATTCCATGTTAAACCATTTAACTAGACATGGTACCTTACWCAGGTTCTCTAAAGTCAGCAGCAACTTCAAGAAAATGAAGCATACTTTCCTGCCCTTGCTTCAGTCAGCTCCTCACACCTAGCAGTGGRGAAGCACAACTTCAGAGCTCAGTGCCTAGTCAAGAAGCTACCATATACAAAAAAAAAAAAGCAAACAAGACTTCATTGTGAAGCTCTAACTATGGTTTTTCCCTGGATTTTTCACACACAAGTTGGTRCTTTCTACATGCCCAGCTAGTCTTTCCTAGGTGATTGTGACTGCATAAAATGCGTATCATTCCATCAGTTGGGAGACAAATAACAAAATGCCCCAGCCAGACTCTACAAGTATTTATTATTAATTTCATTAGGAAAAAAACAGGGAGAAGAAAAAGCTGGATCATACTGACACAGAGAGAACTACACTGAGGAGAATTTTTTTTTTACTCTGCACTTAGTAAGCAGAGGCAAAAATAAAATACAGTAAGTAAAAGACCAAGTCATGACAGCACAAAGACAAGCTCCAAGATATCCTTTCAGGTAGCAGTAGCTTTTATTCTCATGCAAAAAMCAGAGCTTCTCAAGCCAGTCAGATGGATGACATGAGGAAGAGGCTGAGACATMAAGATCCTTTAATATGAATTGTTCATCGCCGATACAAAGATTTTTAATATCAATTAGATATTATCTAAAGGCTATATGAGTTTGTGTAACTCTAATGCACGAGAAAACCACAAACATTTGAACATGCAAAGCTATACTTACCTAGGATAACACCTTGAGCACCTCTGTAGTAACTGGGGGTTAATGTTCTGAACCGCTCCTGACCTGCAGTATCCTAAAAAGCCATTCAAAAAGTTCCATTATTCAGAATTTGAGCAYAATGTAGTTTAGCTTTCAGGTATTCTACTTCTAATGAACATACAAAGTAAGATTGAAACTATATTCTACTACCAGATTATCTGAGTTTATTCCATCCCCTGCTGTTTTACTACATAGTAACTGAGATTTTATGTAGTCTGTCCTGGGAAGCACCTTTGAACTATTAGATGTGGTATGTAACCAGATTATGTAACAGTAAAACAGACATTTCTGCAAAGGCCTTTGATCTGCAGCRAGTACTGCAGCAACCAGCTAGAAAACAGCATAACTGCAGTACTAATATTTTCTAACAAGCATCACACCCCATGACAACAAAACCAGTTCCCTCACTTTAATCATTTGGTCCAATTAAATTTGATTGAGTACTTGGGCAAATGCATTAACATGCTATTACACAGTACACTTAGAAATTAGTCAGAGGATTTTCTGGTTTTAAGCAAAGTTGAGCTTACAACCTAAAATTTAGAGAGTCAACAGCTCTGCAAAAATTTAAAAAAAAATAAAATTAGAAAGCTGTTTTATTATCAGAGATTAAATTACAGTGCACACTCWTTAAAGACTTTATGCATAAAATAGTTAAACTACTTTTTCCAATTTATCCAGGTTAGAAATGACACATGAAACACTGTGGATTCCCTGACAAAGAACCTGAATAAGCAAACTGGACTTCAACATTCTACAAGCCACTCAGTCAATTTCACATCTCAAACCAGTTTTGTGCCATRATGCACTTTTACAAGCTTTTCTTTTCCAGTTTACCCCAGGTTTATTTCTTTATGTTTACCAATATGAAAGAAAATAAATCCTAACTTACTATTTTTCATTCTACTATAAGTATGGTTTTCCTCCTGCATGCTTTTTTTCCTATCAAGCTATTGCATTTACTTTCCTTGTCAAATGCATGTATTTCACTGATGATTACTATTGTAACTAAGACATTAAGTCCTGTTTGTTAGTGAGGTATGAAGCACCCTCCAAGTTATAAAAAAACTGCAATGGATGTTTCATGTTCTACTACTACTACCCAAGAAAACAAAGGTCTGGTACCTTGCTTATTTGAGAAACAARGTTTTATTCTTGCTTGCTACAAGAAGACACAACTGGGTCTGACTATTCAAAAGGTGGTCCMAGTTGCATAAATGTGGAGGCTGGTTTACACAATGGAGAATTTTTTTTTAATGCTTGGAATTTCTTTTTCTTCACTTACCATAATAAAAGTTCTGCTTCTAACTAGAGCAGAAGTTGAATGCTCTAAAGCTACGACTGCAAACAATGSCCCTCTCTCTTTGAAATGCATCTGCTACAAATAATTCTGACATTGAGCTCAAAAAAGTCTTGTTATGAGGGCTATGAAGTTTAGACTAAAAATGGGTTTAGAGAGGTAACATATGAGCATGCAACTGTAATTCTTAACCTATGAATCCACAACCTCAATGTTATAGGCAAAATTTAGTAAAGAAGTGCACTCTTCTACTGATTTAATGCCATTTAATTCAGTGTTTTTTCCACGTCTATCCCAACCCAACCTAGAATTAGTACTGCAGAAGCTCACAGGCAGCAGAACTATCACATCAGCCAGTTGTGCCACCACTCATTGCACTTTCTGAATGGTGCAGTATTAACCTCCCAGTTAGCCTCTTCTCCAAGTCACCTTCATATTAATAAAAAAGGATTCTATACAAACTGTACATTACAGAAACCATAGGAGAACTTAGGAGAGACATACCCATATTGCCAGTTTAGCTTTGTTTCCATCAACTGAAATAGTTTTCACCTTGAAGTCCACACCTAGAGGAAGAAAAATATTTTAGTTCTTCAAACATACTACAGATATTTTTAAAAAAGAAAATAAAGGATAATGGAAAAAAATAAAATCAAACTCAGAAAAAAGCTGTGTTTTGACACGAGCAGAGAGAATAAGTTCCATTAGCTATTTATGAACCTCGCTCAAAATGCAAGGTTGTCTTGCTGACAGGCTTTTGCAAAAGTTTAAGGGGTTTTTAAGCCTTTGACTCAAAATATTTTATGGAAGCAAGGCAAATACTATATCTCTTGTATCAAACCACATATTCCAGGACAAATTTTCAAGTTTATAATTCAAATGGATTAACTTTCTATTCATTACTCACAAACATGTTTTCCAAACAGACAACAAGGTAATGGTTTTGCTGCTCAGTCATCTACCCCAACATTTAACGATTCTTCCCCTTTATGTGTGTCCTCCATCCCCAGGAACCAGCAGCCTATCAATTGCTCAAGGACAAGCTGCACAAAACTCAGGCCAGGGAGAACAATGTTAGTGATTTCAAATTCAAAGGACATAGTGACACACATCTGAGAGGTTCAGTACAGTTATGATCCATTATGCTTTAATTTAATGCTTAGGTCACTAATAACAAGTACGGAACTAGAAATATGTTTCAAGTGTTTTGGAGCGACTCTCACTTCTCACCAGGCAGCAGCTCTGAAATTAAACAGCAGGATTGAAAGGTAATACTTTTATAAGAACAACGTTCAAGTGCAACAGCAACTGTTTTGCACTTGGAATTACAATGTCAATCATCACTCTCCCCACCAGAAAAATAATTTAACTATTCTAACACAAAAAATGAGTAGGGCCTCATGAGTGTRCTGAAGTTTAAAAGAGCTTTGTTTCAAAAAATATAAACACAATTTTTATTCCACTGTTTTGCAGCTTCAGCTCACTGAAGTGTTCCTTGAAGTGTCAGGTGTTTATCAGACAATATTCAACTGAAAGAAGCCCATATTCTATTTCAAGGAAAATTTTCCCAAAGKACATCAACTTTCGCAGTAACTGAACAGAAGTTCATTTTTTCCAGGTACTAAGACTCGTAGCCCCTAACTTAGCAGTAATATAATGCTCAATACCATGCACAAGGATGGCACATTYTCTAGTTATGTTCACAGAAAAGAACAGTCGCTATTAAGTTTAAAATAAACATCAGTTCTTAGAACTTCACCTAGTTCAGAGAAGACTGCTATGCTAGCAATTTGAGTCAAATTGATCCCAGAGAACATTCTGTTCTGTCCACTTTTCAGTACTCGGCAGTAACTTTTCAACTAATAGAATCTCTTTCTTCCAGTGTAATTGCACGTTTCTTCCCCTAAACTGCAAAAAACACCATTTTCAGTTCACAGTGCATGTCCAACAGTTYACAGTACATTATTTTATCCATTAGTCTGGCACCAAAGCCTGTAACTGCAGATATTACCAGCCAATGGATACTTAACATGACAACTTATAATATGTCATAGTAACTTTAAGAAACAAAACTTTCTTCCTTAAGATAAAGAGATGTATTCTGAAGCCACAGCATCCTTCTCCCATTCAGTAAACAGATTCAGTATCTTGTGCTTACACAGTTCAGCAATCTTCATTTAATGAAAATGGATATATATGCCTTTATACTGGCCTTGCTGCTGGTTTAAAATTTACTTTATATTCAAGAGCAATGCAAGCAAAATAAGAAACTAAAATACTGACTAAACCCCATGTGTTAAACTGATTATTGAAAAGTAAAAGTATTAAAACTAACTAATAGCACACCAAAATATACCCTTTAAAGTGATCGAGGCATGACAAATATAATTCTAGCAAACAAAGAAGCTCAATACATATAAAAGCCAATTAACGAAAAGAATACTTTTAAATACTTAGGGTTTTGGTTACCAACCTGCCATCAGAGAGGACAAGTAGGAAAAAATTAAAGGCTCAAGCAAATCTTGTTGAATTGAACAAACAGGGTACTTCTGTTCTCTAAAGCCAACAGTGAAATAACAGACACATTTGTGACAGGTGTCAGTTCTGACCTTGCAAGAGTGATGTGACAGCAAAAAGCTGACAGTGCTTTCCACCATGCCTTGGAAGGCAGCCAGAAACAAGACAGCACTACTAGACTGTATTCCTGTATGTTAACACCTCCTGCCTCAGCASTACACACTAACATACTACAGACTTATAATCTGCAAGAAACAGCTCTGTCACTGATTCTGCTCTCACATCCAGGCCAGCAATGCCATGCTGTATTTGTAGAAAGCACAAAATCAGCTACACTGTAGTATTTGTGTTGTGGGTAAGTGACAAGCTGGACAGCTTAGGAGTYTGAGGACTTTAAATGCAAGGAAAGCTAAAAAGTTAAGAGATATGAGATTTGTGCAATACATCATTTACGAAACAGGGATTGCACTGAACACTTAYCTAGAATCTCTCATACAAACAGCAAGCAAGTGAAGACAAGCATGAGCAGCAAGGACAACTGAAAATACTGGGGTATATGTAGTCWGGGAAGATCCACATGATGATGCCCAACAAACAAGCCATCATCAAGAAAATACAAGGACAGGTCATCTGCTAGATTAAATACAATGTGTTTAATCCAACTGAAGCTGAACTATTAGCCAAAACCAGCTTATTGTTCGGAGAATACCACAGGATTTTTACAAAGTTCTGAAGAAAAACCCACACAAAATAATCACTTAGGGTTTCTTTTAAATTTTAACCAATAGGTCTGTGCAACTCATGAAGACAAAATATGTCTCAACAGGTCATCACAGGGGACCAGTTGTGCTGCAGTCAAGGCTTTCCTCAGTATTGTGGGTTTGGGGGCAGTTCTCCCTCTATGTTAAAGAAAACCAAACCAAACAAAGTTCTCTTCACTTAATAATCCAAATAAAGAAAATGTAGTCACTCTAGCCAGTTCAGCAGTCAGTATGTAGATGACATTGAAAGACGACATTATTTATCGTCCATTCATTTTGGAAAAGAACCATACTCTTCAGTTTCAACAGCAAAGCCTTTAAAACCTCTTCTGTCCTTCTGTCCCCTAATTCAAAACAAAATAGTGCTGAAGTAGCACAAAAAGAACTCCAAGCCAAGACTCAGTATTTTGACATTTCACCATCTTGTAAGTACTTGAAATTGGCATCTAGGGTCTGTCTCCATGCAGCAGAATAGTCAGCTCCAGGAACTCACTCCAACTGCTCTATCTATATGAACAAATCATAATGGAATTTAAAGTCAATATGTTGCTTCTTAGAAATACATTCACCAGAAAAGTGGCAATGCAATTGGCTAGTAGTTCAAAACGAAAAAGAAGAAAACATGTTAAGAACCATGATTCTGATAAGAACCAAGATTCTGTCCTCTTCCAATTAAGTGGACAAAAAATTAATCTGCTATTCCCCATGAATTCCTCACCCACCATGCTGTAGGACTTGGACAGTTGAGGTCACAGTAGCTCTACTGCACAACACTACCTCAAACATCAAGYAGATGGGCCTAACAGTGATATAGGCCAGCATTTTCCCCGTCTCTAGAAACTGACTTTTCCTGCCAACTTATCACATCCATTCCAGATTAATATATTTGTTTCAGAACTCAATCTTTATCTGAAGTAATGCTTACATTGACTACTCTTCTTCCTTTTCCACATTGGAAACAGAGCAGAGTAGGACCCACCAGGTGGGATCTGCCAGCAGTAAACCTTCAATTGTTGCTATTTAACAACAGTTATTAGCTAGAACAAATGCTGTTGTGCATTTTGACAAACCCAAAGAAGAACTACTTCAGGAAATAATTCCTTAGTTTCTCAAATAGCACACTGATACCAGTTTTTGACACAGGTAAGGAATATTACGTACAAACAGCAGAATGACAAAAAAGAAACCCCACCATTAAAAACAAACTAAAAAATTCCAAAGATGCCCACACAGAGACTGAACTAGTCTTTTGGTATCCAAAACATCATGAAAGCTGAAGTTTCTATTCTGCACTAACCTCCTGGCTCACATGGTTGACATACCAAGAAAGTAACACGACCTGAAGTATATACAGTGCCAAAACTATTAGATTAGAATTCAAGATTGCCATCTTCACCACCTGATCTATTTCATTCCTGTTTCCTTACATGCTATCCTCCCACATTAACTAAGGTGGGGTTACTTGCACAACTTCATTTTTTACGAGAAATGGAATGAGCAAAAAYAGGCCACGTTCATCCCTTTGGCTTCTCAGTGCTTTATATCAAATAGTACTCGTGAATCTTATTAACATTAATGAAAAATAGGCCAATTTATTTAATTCTCAATAAATTAGAGCTGGCTTTGCTTACCAACAGCTGAACTCAAAAAACTTTATGCAAGTTCTTAGAACTCTMCCTACAGAGAAAGTAAAAAGTGAAACTGAAATGATTGTGTAAAAAGGTMTCTCTATTTTCCACCATTTCAGTTATTATTCTGGCACAGAGCTGCAACACATTCTTAAAAGTTCCATTTTGCTTCCTTTGAGAACCAACCTACTTAATGTATCCTGCATTCTGGGTCACTCTCCTCCATCACAACTGACCTATGCTGGTAGGTATAATACCACAACAGCAGTGACACATCATCATGCTTTTTTTCCCCAGCAGCTCTAGATTCTTGGCTCTCTTCCACTTTTCTCAGGAGTCTAGCTGCCAAGGAACTCATTGCTAAGTACAAGGAAAAAAGCCACATTGTAATTTCTTCCCTATAGAGGAAAAGCAGAAGCCACACAGAGCCCAGTACATTCAAGTATTGTCAGAAGTTGCAAAAGCTAACAACCCCTACTAAAGAGTCTTAAGATAGCTACCAAGTGTCACATTACATAGATGCAAGGTCTGGACAGCAACATTACTAGTCAAAAACTTGACAACTATCTTGCACAGATAAATCAGTAGGAGAGTAATAGCTCTTMTAGAAAGGCAGACATGTCTGAACATCACTACGTGTCAGACAAGTCTGAACAACCATAATTTTACACTGAAAATCTTATCAATTTTTCTAAGGTAGTATCAGCATATACTTACCAATTGTTGCTGCAAGTTCTGGGTCAAACRTATCATCTGTGAAACGCAGCAGAAGGCTGATAGGGAAAAAAAGAAAAATAACAGATACTATTACTGCAGCATATCTATAGCTTGYTGGAAGTCTATAAATTACAAGTCTAAAAGGAACAGCAAGATCACACAGATAAACTAAAACACTTTTTTTTTTTTGTAAAAGAGAAATTATGGAAAAAAAGAAGAGAATATGGAAAGAATAGCGCAGATATGCTCTGTTAGCTGAGCCCATGTCTCTTCTCTATATGTATTATTACCATGTATGTCTTTTTGAAAAGAGTACCAGACAAATTGTCAAATCAGTCATGTGATCTGCTTCTCAAYGCATTTTACTTCAACCTTATTCTACTTTTCTTCTTCCAGAATGCAGTACAAAAGTAGTATTTTTTGTTTTGTTTCAATATTGCTTCACCATAGTATTTCTGCAAGCTTGAGAAATAAATTCCAAGTCAGCTTTTCATCCCAGAAATAACTCCTTGAACTGTGTCCACAGGGGAATAGCAACAACAACACCCATCAGAAATAAAGACACAGAAGCTAAAGAGTAGAATTARTCTCCATTTGTTTAATGTTTTTGCATCTTTTTGTATCTAAGGACTTTCATGTACGCATTTCCCCTTATCCTGATGAATGTGTTTGCAACCAATTAAAAAGTTACAACTAAGATTTAACAGGACATMACACCATAGCAGTGCACGGCCCCTTAAAGAAGTGCCCATGATGCTGCTGGKGTCTAATGTAAATATTTTTGTGAGACACAAAGATTCTGAGTATACAGTTTTTAAAACCACCAGTCTCAGGCATCTGTGGCAAGTGCATATTACCATGTGGCAGGCAGCTGTTTGCTATGACCACAGCTTCTACTCATTTCCAGGCTGCAGAAATAAAACAAAGCCTTATTTACATTTTGGTCTTCCCAACACCCTGTTCTTTTCTCCTTTTTTTGCACTTGAATTTAGAAGTCAAGTGCTTTTTAGCACTTGGTCACAGTCTTGCATTGACAAAAACAGTGACTACTGAAATTACTTTATTTCAATCAGGATGGGTGACAACTCCAGAGTTAATCATGATCAYTTTTTCTCTCCATGCTCCAGATCCCCAAAGCCAAATGGTAGCTTTATTTATCAAAGAATAATTAAAATAATTTTTTTWAAACTCACAGCACATAGGTTTTTACCAGTACCTTCAGATGGYTGCATCAGGATCCTATTTAACAACAGCTACTTTTAGTTACAACCAAAACTAGTTTCATTCAGAACAAATTACTTATGGAACCCTTACAGTGCTACTAGAATAAAAACACCATTTTATCAGTCTTGCATGCCAAGCCCAGCCAACTTCTATCTTCCCCACCTTTTTTTCATATGTAGCTATCATCTACAAAGCACAACACCCTCACAGGGACATTWAAGACAGCATTTGTTCAGAAGTCAGGACTCCAACCACTTACTACACATGCTAATACCAGTTTAACATCTGACCTTTCCTAGTCAAGCAATAGGTAAGAGACACAAATTCCAAAATATCTCAATATTAAGTTCCTGAACAGCTACACTGTTATAGTTTATAGCATTTTTATTTCCTCCACATAATGCCTCTTTTAACAAGCTTTCKGTTGTAAAGAAACAAGTATATTAATATGTATGAAAACCGCTGCGTGTTTTATCTGCCCCAGGAAAAACCCTTCCATATGGTCTCTCATATGTAAGAGATGACCTCAACTAAAAGAAATTWGCTCAGATCATGTCTGTCATCAGGGCCCTACAATACTAATTGTCAACTCAGTAGCTAACTCAAACGAGTAACTAACAGATTTTTAACAAATATAGGCTCTTTTTTGGGCTCTAAATTTGTCTAATTAGCAACTTGTTTGTAATTTAGGGTCATGGCAGAGGACACAGATTATTGTCAYAAAAACAACATAAAAACAACAAATCTAAAATTACTGGTGTGTACATTCCCAGATGCCCTCGTGCATTTATATCTCACTCCCTTTACCATGAACTATGTCATTACCAAAAAAATGCTTAAAAAAAAAGCCACACACAAATAAAAATCCCAAACCCTTAGAGTTGGGATCTACAGCTCAGCCAAAGCCATGAACAGGGCAGGGAAGGAGAAAGCAACCTCAAAGTACTTGATAAAGCCTGTAATTATCAGAAGAATGTCTGCTAGAACTATTTTGCTTCGTCCCCGTGCCCCCCCCCCCCCTCCGCACACAAGCAATGCTGGGTCACTTCTGACTCTGCATATACATCTTACGGACTACACATTAACCCCAAAGCGCTATGGAGATGTACAAGGGCGCCTATCTCGCCACGACRCAACGCTGCCCCGGGCACAGGGCGCCCCAGGTGACCCTGGTCAGCCCGACAGAACCCCCGYTTCATCTGTCTGCAGCTGGGCCTCGCAGACACCAGCTCGGGGCCGGCGGCTGCGGGAGCGCTGCGGAGAAAGCGGGGGGGAGGTCTCGGCCGCCGGAGGGCGGGCCGGGAAGGGGCGAGGGCGCTCCCCCCGCGGGCCTGGCCCTGCGGGGCTCAGGCCGCGCCCAGGCGGCRTTGTCCGACAAGGGGCCTAGGAGAGGCTGTGGGAGGCTGGCGGGCGCCCCCTCACCTGGACTTGCCGACGCCGCTCTCGCCGATGATGAGRATCTTCAGGGTGGTCAGCACGTCCTCGTCCATCCCGGCAGCGCCCCCGGACCGGCCCCGACCGCTCGACGCTCCCTGCGCAGCTGCGGCGGCRGCGCTGCGCCTGCGCGGGGCCGCCCGCGGTTTGTTTACAGCGGGCGGGGCGGGCCGGGCGGGGCGCGCATGCGCGGGGGTGGCGGTGGGGGGAACGTTCCGCGTCCGGGCCGCGACCTGAGGGGTGCGGGGGAGCCTGCCGGGAGATTTGCAACTGTGGTTGGGGTCAGAGAAACCCCATAAAATGTCACCATGTTATTGGACATTGGAACGGGCTGCCTGGGGAGGTGGTGGAGTTGCCGTCCCSGGAGGTGTTTGAGGAAAGATTGGACGTGGCACTCGGTGCCGCGGCGTGGTTGACAAGGTGGTGATCGGTCATAGGTCGGACTCGATGAGCTCAGAGGTCTTTTCCGGCCTCGCTGATTCTGTAACTGCTTGTGCCGCACAAAGGCAGGTGGCCAGGGCCGGGTGCGGGAGCAGAGCCAGCTGCCACCTCCCGCSGGGAACAGCTGGTACGGAGCTGCCACCAAAACATGGGCTCGTTTGGGCACGAACCAGCAGTGCGGGCCAGTTGGTACGTGACACTGCGTACTTTTCTACCAGYGTCTTAAACATGCTCTGCTAAAAGTCAAAACCTGTTTTTTAACTCATTCCTGTGAGAAAGTCTCTTTATTGGCTATTCAGCYAACCTGCTATTATGGCTTGAAACCTACCTCCGGCCATGTGTAAAGAAGTGCAACTCTTCTAAAATTAACAGTACATGACGCATGTAGGTCTGAGATTCCTTGGTCCGTGCTGTAGCCCTTGGTCCAGTTGGGTAGGCCAGAGATTGACTCCATCACACACATAAATGAGTTCATGCTCTTCCATAGTCACACCAAATGGCCACACAACCAGTCACGCCAAAGGAASAGATCAGGCCATGTCAGCAGTGTGCACAAGGCAGGTACACTTGTGAGGCTGTCATGGTTTCTGTCTGAACTGGCTGCTGGGCCAGAGTCCTGACTCTGCTGAACAGTTGCCTTCACCTGAGCTCCAGGGTCAACACAGAAACTACCCTCTTGTGTTTTTGTGATAAACCTCTCTGTTGCCTGACTCCTTCCACTTTCAGGATCTGTTCTCCTGATTCTTTTACCTTAGAAAAATAACGCCCAGGATGAGTACAATGACAGTAATTACCCTATTAAACTATGGAGACATTCTATAATTAAATGTGCAAATGGCTGGCTATGTTTACAACAGCACTGTGCCCCGTGCCTGTTTGTAATCTGAAATTTGTTGAAGATATGACAGTTTTCATAGTTTGGATTGTGTTTTGCAGTCATGCAAGAAAGCAGAATGTCTGTACTCTGTAGTTTTTGTTGAAGCGTAAAGGAGCTGTGGGGTCTTAGTGTGGACCAGGATGAGGATTTGAATTTGGAGGGTATATCCAAACAGCAAAGTATTCTACTGAGGCTGTTGAATCTCTTGAAGTCAGAGAGTATTTGTATTCTGGGATTTGATTTTTTTTCCACTTCAGAATTAAACTATATAGTGTGGRTATTAGTCCTGATTCAGATCATAATCCTGACCTCACTCAGAATGAAGGGTTGGTCAGGACAGCATTCAGTTCTTTGACTTTATTGATGAGCAGATGCAAGAAAAGAGGGAAAACCTGCGCTAAATGAATAATTACATAGCTCATGCTTATGGATGTGTTATTTTAGACCTTCTTAGGCGTGCCCTTTGAGAACAGGTATTTCTCCAGGTTGTCCTCCTTCAGGTGGAACTATGTAGTCTTCTCACTTTGAAATTGGATCTGAGTGCAGCAGTCATCCTGTTTGCTGTCTGCATACCTRTTTTAACTCTGGAAAACCAGGCCTGTTGCAGAAACCACTTGCTGGGTAATTAAAGTGTCTCAGACCTTCAAAACAAGAATATTATTTATTRATTGAAAGATGTACAATGATCAGGACATTTTCCAACAAACTTTTGTAGAGTTCTTCATTGAAGCCATCTCTGAACTAGAAGAGGCACTTAGCCTGCTGTAATTCATGGGTGCCTGTCTTTTTTCTTGCCTGCTTTTCAGTACTCATCAGGAGTCCTCAATTACTCCCAAGAACTGGCCTAATCCCTTGAATAAGGCTGGGAGGGTTTATTTTTTTGTCATTTATTGTCCCATTTGATCCTCAGATGTGAGAGGGTCAAGCCATAAGAGTGTGGTGAGCCCTTCCTGATAATCAGTCTTTCTAGAAGAACACTGGAGATTTTTTTTTTTTAATGATGTACTGTTTCCTCTTTATTTCTTCTCAGTGATTTSTGCATTTCTGCCAGAATGGGACAGAGCAGATCAACTTGTCTGCATATAATATTTATAAATAATTTTGCATATATACTTTCCTTTTTCTGCATACRGTGCTAAGGGAAGCAGTCTGATGATGGAAAACTGGCATGTCACTGCTATGGGGAGAGAGGGAGAGACAGACAGACAGACATAAACTTTGCACTTCAGAATTTCCCCTCATGCTTTGCAGTCTTGTGTGAAGTSTGCCTGGTTCCTGGTTTGATACAGGACTCAGAGAAGTAGAAAAATGTMAGGTCCATCTCAGCATGTGCAAATGTATGCCATCAGTGTTACTTCRGGGGTTACTTCAGGGATGTGACAAAGAAGGAAAGACATCTTAGCAATGATATCTTGTACTCATATCATACTCTGACCGTTAAAATTCCCTTCCACTGTGTTACAGACAGGCACCCATGAATTACAGCAGGCTAAGTGCCTCTTCTAGTTCAGAGATGGCTATATCTTTGACCGTGAAAACAGGTCATTGGGACTGAGTAACTGTGATTACCTTTCTCAAAAGATGGGAAACTATTTATAGTCACTCTCTTAGGGCTGGGATCTATAATGAAATGGCCATTGCACTTCATGTACCCGCAAGGGACTGCAGAGCAGTTGCRTAGTGCAGTGTCCTTACAAGCACTGAGAGCAAGTAAAGGTGAGAAGGGCCTCCATCCAGTTTGTTCCTGYTGAACCAGCTGCAGGGTAACCTTGGCAACAGAGATGAGTGTGTTACTATTAATCAGTCAGTACCACGAGACACAACCTGCAATAAACAACAAAGAGCTCCCTCAGTCTCATTCTGTGTCTGAAAGACACCTGGGGGCTYTGGTAAGTTCACATGAACCATCTGCCTTATTTCCTCAGCTTAAACGTGGACAAAATGGTATTTGCTTTGGGGGATGCAGAAACAGCAATGGGTCAAGGGAGCTAAGCTGCCAGCCCTGCCTAGCTTAGCATGAGCTCTGATATTCGTGAAGGGAGAGTGTCCTCTTAACTACGTGGCTATCCTGCTGTCTCTCTATGCCACCACAAGTGAAAACAGGCCCTGAAATGTACAGGTTTTGCTTAGGCTGTCTAGCTACACACAAGTCTCAGGAGGATGCACCTCTTTAGATGCCAAATTCCTTAATTCATTGGTGGTCTCAAAGATTTTCTTAGTTAAGCCAACCACCTTTTCTTAGTTAAGCCAAGCACAGTGTCCTGCAGAATCTGAGGAGCTCAGTCGTTTCAGAGAAAAGTTGACAGCAATCTACAGGTCTCCTGCTGCAAAGACTAATCCTGCCATCCTGTTTCCACATAGTGAGGCTGACCCATTTATGGTTGTGGCACTGAGTCAGGAGTTATGATTCACAGTGAAACAAGCATGATTGCTAAACTCACCAATCCCTCTCAGCAGAGATGACACACAAACATGAGCATTCTTTTTTGCTATTTCCTGAAGTAATTTGCAAGCTTTGTAAAACTGGCACAAATGTGTGTCAGATWAAGGGAGGTTCCTTTTCTGTATGACATCCTTAAACATACTCAGCACATCCATATGATTTCACATGCAGTGAATAAAAGCAAGGAATTAAATGCTGCAGCAGTCCCTGAACTCTGGGCAGGATTCCTCTGAAGACCACACTGCAATGTAAATGATTCTGCTGTCTGGTCACTCGTTTTCTAAAGAATCCAGCCTATTTTTATGGAGAAACAATGTAGTAATCTTTCTCTCCCAGCTTCCAATAGCAGCCAGAGTTGGGCACTCCCATCTGTTATCTCAGTGTTTGCTTGGTTTCTGTGAGCTGTGAAGGGGATTTAAGAGTATAAGCACATTAGCTCTGGGCAATTAAAATACACTGCTTATAGTCAACACAGTTTAAAAAAGTGGATTATACACAGCATTGGGGCTGTGACAGAAATCAGCTGTTGGGGAAAGAACAACAAGAAAAATGTTGTTTCAGCCACTCAAACAGCCATGGTTGTATATGAGAATGATATACTAGTATTTTCAGAGAAAACTGACATATATTTTGAAGATCATTAACTGAGACTTGCATAATGACCGTGGGTCGATTATTGATTTTGTACTAGAATAATGTGGTTGCTGAAAATAATATGAAAAACTTAATTGCGTGCTTTGGAATTTATTTTGATAGATGCAAGGTGTAACTTAGACCCTACATCTTGCTTCTCTGCTGGAAAATTTTGAAAAGGCTAGCCACCTCCTACTTACATAAAATTTTGTTCAGATAAATTGRTTAATCGTTTGATCCCAAGTAATTCAAGCAGTAATCTTAAAACTGACAATTTATCTTTCTGCATTGTGTCATGAACCCTAAACCAAAGACAGTTTTTAATACTGGAAGACCTAAATACCATTTTTCAAMTGTCTCTAAAGCAACCATTCAAATCTGTAAGCAATAATGATAGAGAAGTAAATTGCTGTTTAGGAATGTTAAATTCCTTTCAAAACACTGATTCCATTTTAAACTATAAGAGACCAGCTTTGATATTTGAAGCAAATCTRTCATCTACTGTACATCAACAATGAAAAGGGTGAGACAACAGATTTCGAAGGACACAATAAGAACAGTGAAGTTTGGATGTTAGGGTTTTCCCACAGTTGCACTTTATGTGCACTTGATGAACATACTGAACTGTGAGTGCTGTGAGTTTGTCTTTTTTCATAGCAAGTGTAATTGTATCTAGTTGAGCACAATATATAATTTATTTACCACRCAGAGCATGGAATCACTTACATTGGAAGAG